CTGTGCTGTCTTGGACGTTAGGGGTAGGGTCAAAGGTTAAACCTGGCGTGTTAGAAATCATGCAGGTCTTGAGAGGTGAGAGAGCTGCGGGCGCTGTCACAAAGGTAATACGTACAGCGTTTAACTTTCTGCCTCGGTAATATTATAAATTGTGTGCAGTGATCTGGGCTAGGCTTGATCGGCATTCACTTTTTCCTTGGAGGTGAATGACACCCATTCATCACAAAGTTTATGATCAACGTCTGCCTCCGGCTTCAATGGTGCATTCAAGCAAACACAATTTAAGAAAAATAAATAAAAAGTAACTTGGTACAATAGGATTTGTGCATTATGATAAGTGCCCGGTAAATGCCAATATTCAGCGGAGGGCGATTACAAAGTAAGTGGGGAACCGAAAATCTCATGCGAGATCTGGAAAATGAACTGCCGCTATTTAACTTTGGAGCCTAAATATTAGGCACCTGAAATACTTGAATTCCACAGACGGTAAATTGCTGGGAATCCTTGACTTTTAAATGAACAGATTAATTTGTTGGGTTATTTCGATAGCTGACAAAATCAGTACAAGTTTATGGATTCCGGATGAAGAGCTCTTCTCCACCTCTGGAAATTGTGACGATGGATTTATTGCGACGTTAGTGCAGATTGCTCTCTTTTTCCCTCAGTGGTGCACTTAAACAACACGAGCATTCTATAGCCCTTTTGTTTTTCAGGCACAGTCTTCTGGGCTTCCCCTTTAAGTTGTCGTTGTTCATGCCATTGAATATCTGTGAATATCACTGGTGGAGCACCTTTTTAGGTCTGCATCATGGTGTGTTAAACAAGTATTGGCTAGGTATGAAGTTGCGCGTTTCGAACGAAGCGGTTTGTAGACGAGAGGACTTCTAGCATGTGTACTTTATCGTTGTTCCTCGGACAGCTGAAGTCTAAGCCCTTGCCCTTTCGGATGTTAAATATGTTAGCTGTAAGCAGTGCTTCATACTGGTATGGTCTACTGTAGATTCATTATTGACTTAGGGCAACACATTAATTTTCCGTTATATACTTCAGAATATTTCTTGTAGTTGGGGATTGAAAGTAATTTCAATTTGCTTAGTACAGTCGACGAATAACGCGCATTTATATGCTTATTGGCTACTTTGCTAAAACAACTATAAGTTTAATAGTATAGACCTTCCCATAGCTGCTGCAATTTTTTCTGTGGAAAAGGAATTTAATCTATAATGCAGCAATATTTATATATTTATTATTAGAAGTTTGATTTTTTAGTTGTAAGACGCTTCGGTCTGTTTGAATTTGTCAGGAATCGTGCGTTCTGCTTTTTACGCTTGGGGGCGGCTTACTTGGATTTACATGTGCACGCCTGCATTATTTGCTGCGGTGTTTTTTACGGTTTTGCTCTTACTTGTCATTGGTGTTCATGCTTGTTAGAATTCCTGCTAATTTTTCTTTTTGGACGTTTGATTTATTAGAAGTCGAATTAGAGTTTGTTCTGCTCCTCTTAAATCAAGTTCTGACCTGTAAGTAGCTTATCGTTATTTTGAGTCAACGTGTGTATACGGTGTCATTATTATGTTTGTCTATTTTTAACCTGTACACCCCTAACCGGTTTGACTTGTGAGATATGATCGGAAGTCTTTGTTTACTTTTTATCCAATTTTTGAACACATGTGTGCTCGATTTTTTCTTTAGTTCCGTTAGCAGAAGGTTCACCTCTCGCGTGTGGTGGCACTGCTGCTGTTTAAGTAGGCTTGAAGCTGGAGTCAGATCTTGATATTTTTACGTTCCATTCAAGCATGCTCAAGTAATGCAAGTGAAAACACCAAGCAAAAGAGTTTTGTTTGAAATGTGTGAATGTACCAACAAGAGAAATGCTACGATAAAAGAAATTATGGGGTCAGCAGGAAAGAAGTGCGATTGAGAAGTCAGGTCAACTAAATTGAAGAGTTGAGGTCAGATATCAGGCATCCCCATGCACCTATATTCAGCTTAGTGGCACTCACTGGTCCAAGGTCATGTGCATATTCTGTCACAAGGTTTTGAGGTGAGCTAAAATCAGAGAAGCGAGATGCGGTTTTGTGATGAAGTGCTTATTAAGGATGGGGGTGAAGAATGGCATCTGCGAAATTGAACAAGGTGACAGGTGTCGGTAGCAGCAGATGACGTATGCGAGTGAGAATGCTAATGTTAGTGGAGTGATGAGGTGCTCACTGATGCCATAAACTGATAGCGGAAAGAATCACATGCGACAACATCGTGTCCTCATTCGCTTTTAGGGTTAGTCATGGGGTGCTGTATCGATGGCAGCGGAAAGAAAACCATGGTTCCTACTACTAATTAAGAAACATTAGTGCCTGTAAAAAAGGTGTATGCTGCAGAAGGGCGAGTTGATGACGTCCCGCAATTAAAGGGCTGTAAAAGACATCTGAATTTGGCAGCTGGCTTAGTCCAGTGGATAAGCAGTTCTGAAGTGATAACAACGTTAAAGTTGGTGTAAAAGCGGAATTATACTCCCAGAAATATGCTGAGTCCCGTAATTTGTTACATGTCTCCTTTTAGGCATTGCTCCCTACCACTAGCTGTGTTCATGCCTGATGGGTAGCACATTCCCCTTGCCAAATATATTTCTCATAAAAAACGGAACTCTATGTCCAGTAGAAGGGACTAGAGGTCTCGGTGCATTTGCGTTCAGGGATCTTTTTAAGTTGCATGGAAATGATTGACTGGTTCGGTTGGATCGTAGGTGCTGAGCTTACGGCACGGTAGGTGGAATGAGAGGTTGATGAGGAAAAGCAGCATC